CACCAGACCCTGGGGTCTCCATGGGGCTCCCGGGGTGTCCATGGGGCTCCCGGGGTCTCCATGGGGGCCCTGGGGTCTCCATGGAGCTCCTGGGGTTTTTGTGGGGTGCACCAGACCCTGGGGTCTCCATGGGCCTCCTGGGGTCTCCGTGGGGTTCCTGGGGTCTCCATGGGGCTCCTGGGGTCTCCGCGGGGCTGAGCAGGAGCCGCCCCTCCCCCTGCAGCTGGGAATAATCGGGATTAATTACGGCTCTAATGAGGTGTGAAAGGGTTACGGCCTGCGGGATGAGCAGCGGGCGGGGACCCCGGGCCTGGCCGAGCCTGCACAGCCCCCCCGGCCCCGTGCGAGACCCTGACCGTGTGAGGGGGCCCCGGGCTGGGGCCGTGCCCACCGGGACCCCTCCGGCACCGCGGTGGCTTCGTGTCCCCAAAGGGAGCCTGGCAGGGACCCGGCTGGGCTGGGGACAGAGGGGACAGGGCAGGCGGCCCCCAGCGCGGTGCTGGCACGGGTGGGCACGGGTGGGCCCGGGTGGGAGGCGTGGCGGTGTCGCGGGGCTGCCCTGCTCGGGAGGGCTCGGGATCTTCCTCCCAGGATGTTTAACCCAAAAAACCAAAGGAGCTCCGGGCAGGGACACCGGGCCGTGCCAAACCGGGGCTGCGGAGCGCAGGGGTCGCCCCCGTGCCCCCGTGGGTTCCCAGGGATGCGGCTCCTGCCGGGATGCGGGAGCGCTGGGGGAGGCTCCGGTGTCGGGCACGGCTGCTGGGGCTGCCGGGGGGTGCCGGGCATCACCCGTGGAGCCGGTACCGGCTGGGACCCGTCTGCGGCCCGGGCCGGGCCGGGTGGGGCTCAGCAGCGGCTCCGTGTCCGGGGCGGCGGCGGTGACACCGAGCCCGGGGTGTGCTGGCGGTTCTGTCACCACCCTGATGTCCCCAGGCCCGGGCTGTGCTGGCGGTTCTGTCACCATCCTGATGTCCCCGAGCCCGGGGTGTCCCCGCAGGCACTGGCGGTTCTGTCACCATCCTGATGTCCCCGAGCCCGGGGAGTGCTGGGGGCTCTGTCACCATCCTGATGTCCCCGAGCCCGGGGAGTGCTGGGGGCTCTGTCACCACCCTGATGTCCCCGAGCCCGGGGTGTGCTGGGGGTGTCATCATTTTGATGTCCCCGGGCCCGGGGTGTCCCCGCAGGCTCTGGCGGTTCTGTCACCCCCTCGATGTCCCCGAGGCCGCTCTCCCCGGCCAGATGTGCGGCTGTGCGGGGGGAGGGGGGAGCACATCTGGCAGCTGTGCCGGGCCCGAACACTGCGCGCTCTGTGCGGTGACCGCGGCCATGACCAATGCGGGATCTCCGGCTCCCGCAGCTGCTGCCGGCCCCGAGCAGCGCTTCCCAGGGAAACCTCGCTGCCCTTTGCCATCAAATCCCCGCCTCTGCCACATGGCCAGGGGACAAGGCGCCCCGCAGGGAGGAGATGGAGTTATTGAATATTTGGCGGATGACAGAACGCGGCTCCCTGCTCACGGGCTGCTGCTGCTGCTGCTGCTGGAATCGTTCCCCGCGATTACGGCATCGGCTGCGGCTCGCCAGCCGCTCATGGGGACAGTCCTGGTCCCGGGGACAGTCCTGATGCTGGGGACAGCCCTGCTCGTGGGTACAGCCCTGCTCCAGGGACAGTCCCACACTCCCTGTGCCTGCAGGAATAGGGAATGGCAGCGGAGCTTGGTGTCACCCCCAGGGACACCCCGGCTGTGTGGGCACTGCCAAGGCCTGGGGAGCCAGGAGTGGCCACGGCCACCCCTGTCCTTGTGTGTGTCACCCACAGAGCAGCCGGGGTGGGACATGGCTCCTGTCCCCATTCTGTGCCCCGTGGCAATGGGGATGTCCCCGACCTGGCATTAACCCGTCCCCATGGCAATTGGCATGTCACTGTCCTGGCATTGACCTGTCCCTGTGGCAATGGGGATGTCCCTGTCCTGGCATTGACCTGTCCCCATTCCCTGTCCCCATGGCAATGGGGATGTCACTGTCCTGGCATTAACCTGTCCCCATGGCAATTGGCATGTCACTGTCCTGGCATTGACCTGTCCCTGTGGCAATGGGGATGTCCCTGTCCTGGCATTGACCTGTCCCCATTCCCTGTCCCCATGGCAATGGGGATGTCCCTGTCCTGTCCTGGCATTAACCCATCCCCAAGGCATTTGGGATGTCCCTGTCCTGTCCTGGCACTAACCTGTTCTCATGGCAATTGGCATGTCCCTGTCCTGGCATTGACCTGTTCCCATTCCTGTCCCTGTGGCAATGGGGATGTCCCTGTCCTGTCCTGGCATTAACCTGTCCCCATTCCTGTCCCATGGCAGTTGGAATGTCCCTGTCCTGGCATTGACCCAGGGGTGCCAGCACAGGGACAGGGAAACGGCTCTGCCCCGGGGCTGCCCATGGGTAAACACTTTCAGGGGCATTTTCCTTGGGCTGGTTTTGTCAGGTGCATTTTCCTTGGATTGGTTTTATTCAGGAGCATTTTCCTTGGATTGGTTTTATTCAGGTGCATTTTCCTTGGATTGGTTTGGTTTTTTCAGGTGCATTTTCCTTGGGTTGGTTTTCATCAGGTGCATTTTCCTTGGGTTGTTTTTATTCAGGTGCATTTTCCTTGGGTTTGTTTTTATTCAGGTGCATTTTCCTTGGGTTGGTTTGGTTTTTTTCAGGTGCATTTTCCTTGGATTGGTTTAGTTTTTTCAGGTGCATTTTCCTTGGTTTGTTTTTTTTCAGGTGCATTTCCTTGGGTTGGTTTGGTTTTTATTCAGGAGCATTTTCCTTGGTTTGTTTTTATTCATGTGCTTTTTCCTTGGATTGGTTTGGTTTTTTTCAGGAGCATTTTCCTTGGGTTGGTTTTTGTCAGGTGCATTTTCCTTGGATTGGGTTGTTTTTATTCAGGTGCATTTTCCTTGGATTGGTTTGATTTTTATTCAGGTGCGTTTTCCTTGGGTTGGTTTGGTTTTTTTTTCAGGTGCATTTTCCTTGGGTGGTTTTTTTTCAGGTGCATTTTCCTTGGTTGGTTTTGCCCCAGGGAACTGCAAGTGGCAATCCTGATCAGGAGGGTGCAGCTGCTGTGAGCCCCATGTCCCTGCCCCAGCCCAGGGGTCAATTAGAAAGGCTTTAATTACCTCCCTCAGTGACACCCTAGGGTGACATCTCACAACAGGGCCCTGGGCACCCCAGTCCTGCTCTCCTCGGTGTCAGGGGTGCTGGGGAGGCCCTGCAGCCTCCCCATCTCCCCAGTCCTGATGGATCCCACCGGGCTTTCCCCACGAGCCCAGTGCCCCAGCTCTGCTGTGCCCCCATCCCTGCCCTGCGGTGCCCACAGGAGGTGATGGGAGACCCCCAGCCCTCCCAGCCCTGCCTGGGGCACAGACCCTGACCCCCAGGCAGCTCCTGGTGCCGTCCCCACCCCAGCTGGGCCTTCAGGAAAACATCCCCACTTTGTGTGTTGGGCCCACAGCACAGCCAAAGGCGCCGCACGCCCAAATGCAGCAAATTCAGCTGAAAACCCACGGGAAGTGGTCCCTGCCTCTGTCCTGGTCCCCATCTCTCCATTCTCATCCCCATCTCCATCCCCATTCCTGTCTGCATCCCCATTCTTATCTCCATCTCCCATCTCTCTCCCCATCCCTATCCTTGCTCCCATCCCCATCCCTCTCCTTGTCCCTGTCCCCATCCCTGTTCTTATCCCCATTCCCATCCCTCTCTCCATCCCTGTCTCTCTCCCATCCCTCTCCTTGTCCCCATTCCCATCCTTGTCTTTATCCCCATTCCCATCTCCATTTCCCATCCTTCTCCCCATCCCTGTCCTGGCTCCCATTCCCATCCCTGCCCTTATCCCCATCCCTGTCCTTATCCCCATTCCTGTCCCCATCCCCGTCCTTATCCCCATTCCTGTCCCCATCCCTGTCCTTCTCCCCATCCCTGTCCTTGTCCCCATTCCTGTCTCACTCCCATTCCCCATTCCTCTCCCTGTCCTTGTCCCCAGTCCTGTCCCCATCTCTGTCCCCTTTCCCAGCTGGAGCTGCTCTTCCCTCCAGGTTCTCCTGGCTGCCCTTGCAGCTCCTTCCCAACATTTACACCAAGCCAGGCTGCGGCCACCAGGGTGTTCATTGTCCCTGTCCCTGCTGCAGGGAGGGGGCAGAGCTGGGGGTGCTGGGGGTCTCTGCCATCCCTGCTCCTTTATTTCCCTGAATTCCACCCAAACTGAGCCCAGCTCCTGATGCTGCTGCTCCTCTAGGCCTGGCCCTGCTCCTCCCTCCATCCCTGCTTGGGATGGGACCACCAGAGGTCGGTGACAGCCCCAGCCCTGCATCCCACCACCCACCTGGGAGGCTGTGGCCTCACACCTGGCTCCAGGTAAAGGCTCAACCCCCCAGGTGCCTGCAGGAGCTCCAGGTGGGTTTGTAAAGGCTGAATCCCCATTGCAGGAGCTCCAGGTGGGTTTGTAAAGGCTGAATCCCCACTGCAGGAGCTCCAGGTGTATTTTAAAGGTGAATCCCCATTGCAGGAGCTCCAGGTGGGTTTGTAAAGGCTGAATTCCCACTGCAGGAGCTCCAGGTGTATTTTAAAGGCTGAATCCCCATTGCAGGAGCTCCAGGTATGTTTTAAAGGCTGAACCCCCACTGCAGGAGCTCCAGGTGTGTTTGTAAAGGCTGAATCCCCATTGCAGGAGCTCCAGGTGGGTTTTAAAGGTGAATCCCCACTGCAGGAGCTCCAGGTGTGTTTGTAAAGGCTGAATCCCCATTGCAGGAGCTCCAGGTGGGTTTGTAAAGGCTGAATCCCCATTGCAGGAGCTCCAGGTGTATTTTAAAGGCTGAACCCCCCGGGTTCTGTGCAGGGGTGACCCTGGGGGCTGCTCCCCTCTGTTCCATGCCCGGGGAGGGACAGAGGCAGGAGCAGTGACCCAGTGGGGGTGACAGTGGCGCTGTTGGGGGACCCTGGAAGGGAGCAGCACACGGAGGCAGCAGCAGTGTCCTTTCAGGTGTTATTTTCGTTTTTTAAGCCTGCCTGAGCGGCTGAGCCGGGTGGGAACACACCGAGGGTGCATGCAATGCCTGAGGGGCAGGAGAGGCCTCGGGACAGCTCCCGGTGCTGGCTCCCGGCGGCTGCAGGTGGTGGAGATCGGTCACAGTTGCACGATGGTGATGGATGGGCTGGAACCGCCTCTTCTGAGGGGGGAGACGTCCCTCGATCGCAGGAGCAACCTCCGAGCCTGCGGCACCGGGAAACCCGTCAGGGTCTGCAGGGATCCTGCAGAGACCCCACAGAAATCCTGCTGAGATCCCACAGAAATCCTGCAGAGATCCCACAGAAATCCTGCTGAGACCCTGCAGAGATCCTGCTGAGACCCCACAGAAATCCTGCTGAGACCCTGCAGAGATCCTGCTGAGACCCCACAGAAATCCTGCTGAGATCCCACAGAAATCCTGCTGAGACCCTGCAGAGATCCCACTGAGACCCTGCAGAGATCCTACAGAAATCCTGCAGAGATCCCACAGAAATCCCGCAGAGACCCTGCAGTGATACCACAGAGATTCCACAGAGATCCCGCAGAGACCCCATCCCGCAGAAATCCTGAAGAAATCCCACAGAAAGTCCACAGAAATCCTGCAGAGATCCTGCAGAGATCCCATAGAAATCCCACAGAGATCCTGCCTGGCCCTGGAACCACCAGTGCTGGGAGCTGGGCAGGGAATGGAGCCCCAGGAGGGGCTGAGGGAGCTGGGCAGGGAATGGAGCCCCAGGAGGGGCTGGGGGAGCTGGGCAGGGAATGGAGCCCCAGGAGGGGCTGAGGGAGCTGGGCAGGGAATGGAGCCCCAGGAGGGGCTGAGGGAGCTGGGCAGGGAATGGAGCCCCAGGAGGGGCTGAGGGAGCTGGGCAGGGAATGGAGCCCCAGCAGGGGCTGAGGGAGCTGGGCAGGGGCTCAGCCTGGAGCAAAGGAGGCTCAGGGGGCCCTTGTGGCTCTGCACAAGTCCCTGCCAGGAGGGCACAGCCAGGGGGGGTCGGGCTCTGCTCCCAGGGAACAGGGACAGGACAAGGGGAAATGGCCTCAGGCTGGGCCAGGGCAGGCTCAGGGTGGACACCAGGAGGAATTTCTGCATGGAAAGGGGGCTCAGGCCTTGGCAGGGGCTGCCCAGGGGGGTTTGGGGTGCCCATCCCTGCAGGGCTTTAGCAGCTGTGGGGATGTGGCACTTGGGCACTTTCTGTGTGGGTACTGAAAGTAAAATCCTTGTTCATGGTTTGTGCTGGGCTGAGCTCTCAGGGCCTTGCTGACACTTCTGCCAGGGCCTGGCTTTGGCTTTCCCATACCCAAGGCTGAGGCAGGGATGGCTCTGGACAAGGAGACCAAGCTCTGATCATTCTCCTTTCCTTGCTGGTTAAAGCTCTGAGTGGCTGGAACTGTTCTGCATCCCTGTGGAAGCTCAGGGAAGCTGTTGGACACCAGGAGGAATTTCCCCATGGAAAGGGGGCTCAGGCCTTGGAACTGCTCCTGGAGGTTTGCAGTGCCCATCCCTGGAGGGTTTCAGAGCCCTGTGGCTGTGGCACCTGGGGACAGGGGACAGGGGTGGCCTGGGCAGTGCTGGGGGTGGCTGGGCTCAGTGTCCCAGAGAGCTTTTCCAGCTTTTCCAGCCCCAATGGCCCCTGAGCCCCCTGGCCAAACCCGAGTGTGGCACCACCAGTGTCCAGCTGGGCCCAGAACTGCTGCCCTCGGGGCAGGGGCCAGGAACCTCCAGCTCCTGAGGCCAGGGCAGGTCCCCAGGGTGACTCTGCCAGGTCAGGGCTGGGCACAGCCCCTCCAGCAGCAGGCTCAGGAGCACCCTCTGGTCCTGGCACCACACACAGGAGGAACTCAGAACCCCTGAGGTTAGGAAAGACCTCTGGGGTCACCAAGTGCAATCCCCAACTTGTCCCCACCTTGTCCCCTGAGTGACGCCTCCAAACCTCCCTGGGCAGCCCCTGCCAAGGCCTGACCCCCTTTCCATGGGGAAAATGGAAGAGCCACCACGGTGTAAAGGGTTATTTTTGCTTTTCTTTTGTCCTTTCTCATTTTTTCTGTAGGATCCTGGAGCCTGGCTGGTTCCTCTCCCTCATTTCTCAGGGGTCTCTCATTCACCCTCATTCTCTCGTGTGCTGGAGGCCCCTCTGGGCTCTGGGCAAGGGGAAATTGGGGCTCCTCCTGTCCCCCCCAGCCCTGGGGGTGGCAGGGTCACTCATGTCCCTGTCTCCTTTCAGGGGGTGAGGGAAAGCCTCACTCTGTGGCTGCCCGTGGTGCCTCCCCCTCTAACGCTGCAATTTCACTCCTTCTTGAGTTACCAGATTGTTTCCCAGATCAGGCAGGACTTGAATTTCTAATGCAAAAACTGCCAGAAAGGCTCCTGAGCCTCTCTGGGGCTCTCTCCTTGCACTGCTGGGAGGTGGGGAAAAGGGCAAATCCCCTTTTTGCACTTTGCAGAGGATGTTTGGTGGGAGCTGGTGCTGGGATTATCCCACAAAATCCTGCTCTGGATCCTCCTGGCCCTGGGGGATCAGGGAAGGGTCTCCAAGGCTTTCTCCTGCCCGGTGCCTGCCATCAGCAGGGAGAGGGAGGAGGTCCCAGAGGAAGGTCCCTGCTGTCCCCATGCCCTGCTGTCCCCTCTGCTGCATCCATGGCAGGAGTTTCTGCCTCCTGCCCACGGGGAGTGCTGATGGGCATTGTGGCAAACTTCCAGGGGCTGTGGAAACCCGAGCCTGCTCCTCGCAGCTTTTCAGGTGGGGGAGATAAGGATCTCCCTGGAGACACTGCAGGCTCCAGCCCTGCCCCTCCTGCTCTCCCTGCACCTGTCTGTCTGTCCATCTGTTGTGCCTGCTTATTAACTCGGAGCCCTGCCTTTCTCAGGGGCAGACAATGTATTTTGGTCTGTCTGGACAGGGTCCATCACCACGGGCTCCTGTTTCCTCTCCTTACAGAAGGGACCATAAAAGGGGAGAAGGGACAATAAAATGGGAGATAAGGCTGGCAGGGCTGGGGTGATGGTGTTTGCCCACCCTGGGGAGAGCTCAGAGCCCCTGGCAGGGCCTGAAGGGGCTCCAGGAGAGCTGCAGGGGGACTGGGGACAAGGCCTGCAGGGACAGGAGCCAGGGAATGGCTCCCAGTGCCAGAGGGCAGGGCTGGATGGGATCTTGGGAATGAGGAATTGTGCCCTGGCAGGGAGGGCAGGCCCTGGCACAGGGTGCCCAGCCTGGATCCCTGGCAGTGCCCAAGGCCAGGCTGGACACTGGCACACCCTGGCACACTGGGAGGTGTCCCTGCCATGGCACTGGATGGGATGGGGTGAGTTTTAGGATCCCTTCCCACCCAACCCATTCCATAATTCTGAGGAAAACATCCTTTTGAGGGGAGGGATAGGCAGGTGGGACCTTCCTGGTGCAGAAACAGGACAAGAGCAGGAGGTGACAGGAGCTCAGGAGGTGACAGGAGCTCAGGAGGTGACAGGAGCTCAGGAGCTGCTGGAGGTGGGACAGGTGTCCATCCTTACCTGAGCTGCTGTCCAGCCTGTGGTCCCTCCTAACCTGCAAAGAGGGAAGAGCAGGTTAGCACAGGGAGCATTTCCTGCCCCACGAAATGAGGATCTGCCCCCAGCTCTTACTGCTGCAGGGGGACAGAATTCCCTTTATTCCTGCCCCTTTTCTTTCCCCCCTGTCACAGACACGTTTTCTGAAAAATCCTTTCCTTAGGATTTTTCCTCCTGAGAAGCTGAGAGGCCTCAGGAACAAAATGCAACCAATGGTTATCTGCTGCTGTGGAATGCAACAGGAACAAAATGTACCCAATGGTTATCTGCTGCTGTGGGATGCAACAGGTGTATCTGGGATTGGTCCAATGTGGTTGTTTCTCATTAATGGCCAATCACAGCCCAGCTGTCTCAGACTCTGGTCAGTCACAAGCCTTTGTTATCATTCCTATTCTATTCTTAGCCAGCCTTCTGATGAAATCCTTTCTTCTATTCTTTTAGTATAGTTTTAATGTAATATATATCATAAAATAATAAATCAGCCTCCTGAAACATGGAGTCAGATTCTCTTCCCTGGGACCCCTGCGAACACCACCACACCCAGGCACCCCAGAGAAGACCCTGCCTCAGTTTCCCTGAGTCCCCCCCAGCAGTTATTCCCACGCTGGGCTTTGATCCCAGTGCCCTCAGCCCTTCCAGGTGTCACCTCCCTGGCTGCCATGGTCCCTCCCTGTCCCTGCTGTCCTGGGCAGCTCAGCTGGGCCCAGGGTGGCCTCTCTGGTGCCAGGCACAGGGGCAGGGCTGTCCCCTCCTTGCCAGGGATGCCACAGGAGCCACAGACCCTGACAAGGACACGTCACTGCTGCGGGGTCACCTCGGTGTCCCCGTGCCAGGCTGTCCCTGCTCTGTGTGGGGGTGGCCCCAGCCTGTCCTGGCACCTGGGCACCTTCCCAGGGCTTGGCCCTGTCCCTGCTGAGCTGCCAGCTCGGTGTCACCCCAAACCTGGACTGTCCTCTGGGGACAGGGGGATGCAGGAGCTCAGCTTTGCCCAGATGGGCAGGGGCATTCCAGGGAATCCCAGACTGGTTTGGGTGGGAGCTCAGAGCCCCCCCAGTGCCAGCCCTGCCATGGCAGGGACACCTCCCAGTGTGCCAGGGTGTGCCAGTGTCCAGCCTGGCCTTGGGCACTGCCAGGGATCCAGGCTGGGCACCCTGTGCCAGTGCTGGAATTTCAAACTGGGATTTTTTTTTGTCCAGGAAATGTAATGGGCCAGAAAACTCTGCTGTTCCCACCAGTCTGAGCAGAACCCAGGTGTTTGGTCCCCCTTGCAGTGGTTGCAGGGTTATAGAACCCAAATGGGCAGTGAGGAAGGGACAAGGACGTGGTGAGTCTGAGGTGACACTGTCATGGGTCCATGTCTTGGCCCAAAGAGGAGTCTGGGGGAGAAGCAGCAGCACTTGGCCAGCTCCTGGCAGAGCTGCTCCCACCCCTGATGAGCCCTGGCAGGGGGAAGGTGTGGATGCACAGAGCCAGCATCCACAGGGGGAGCACAGGGAGCAGCACCAAGGCTGAGCTGGGTGTGTCACCCCCAGGATGGGATGGGGGAGGCTCTGCCAGCTCCCAGCTGTGCCCCCAGAGCCTGGAGACCTTGGGGACACCTCTGGGGACACTGCTCTGTGATCCCAGCCACAGGGGATCAAGCTGAGTGGCATTTGTTACAGGAATCAAAGCAGGAAATGTGTGTGTAACAAATCCCAGAGATTTCATCCCCCAAATCCAGCCCTGCTCCATCGAAGGTCAGCCCCTCCAGCAGGGAGGGAGGGCTGGGGTTCATTCATTGGGAATAAGATAAAAACACAGCAGGGAAATAGGAAATAACCACATGAAGAAACTTGTGAGGAAGCCCAAGGATGATGCTGTCCCTCGGAGTGGCATTCAATGAAAAGGAGGTGGATTAGGAATGGATATTGGGCAGGAATTGTTCCCTGGGAGGGTGGGCAGGCCCCGGGTGCCCAGAGAAGTGTCCCTGGATCCCTGGCAGTGCCCAAGGCCAGGCTGGGCAGGGCTGGGAGCAGCTGGGACAGGGGAAGGTGTCCCTGGCATGACAGGGGTGGCACTGGAGGGGCTCTGAGCTCCCTTTCCCATGCCACCCACTCTGGGATGATTCTCTAAATCCGTGGCAGTGAGGACCAGCCCCTCCCTTGGCCTGGGTGGGGTGCAGGGGCTGGGGACCCCTGAGCTGCTTTTTCCTCTGGTTCATCCCAAAAGGAGAATGCTGCTGGGCCAGGGCTGCCCCCAGAGCTGAACCTGGGCTCCCCACCCCTGCAGCTCCCTGGCCACAGCTCCCTGGCTGTGGTGTCACCCGTCCCTGCTGTCCCCTCGCCACAGGGTCTGCAGCAGCTCCCCCAGCCCCTGCAGCTCCATATTGATCATTCCTCGATCTCCCTGCCAGAGGCTGACCTCACCAGCTCTGGGACTGCAATAAAGTGCTTTTTTCCCTGGCAGGGACAGTATTTACATTCCACACCGAGGCTCTTGGACCCAGCTCTGCTCTTGGACACGTCTGGGCTGGAGTAATTGGGGAGAGTTTGTGTTCCATCTCTGCTGCATCCACCATCTGCCATGCCTCAGCCTCCCCCTGTCCCGTTTCCCATGCCAGACACAATGCATATTTGGAAAAAGTCGCGCGGATCATCTGCTAAGCATCTCAAATATTCCAGTGATGAGGAATGTTCTGGGGCAGAGAGGGTCCTGAGACTCAGTTCTGCTCTGGAAATCTCCTGTTTCAGCCAAAATCGAGCTCCCCACCGCGCTCAGCCGCGGGTGGGCAGAGGAACAGAGCGGTTCCAAACACCTGGGTGCTCTGCACAAGGCAGGGGATGGGAAAGCTCAGGGCAATGAGCTCTTCTGGGAGAAGTGCTGCAGCAGCTGAGCCAGCAGGAAATGTGTGTGTAACAAAAGCAGGCTCCAAAGTGCTGCTTTGTTGATGCTGGACTGGGCTTTGGCTCAAGCGAGACAAATGCCGGGGCTGATTCAGACCCGGCCAAGGCTGTTCCTCTGTTTGGGTTAGGAACATCCAGAGCAGGAGCCAAGAGAGCCCTGAGGGAGGTCCTGTCCCTGGGAGGAGCTTCCTGGTGGCTCCTGGAGTGCGAGGAGAGGAGCAGATCCCGGCATTCCCTCCCTCGGGCTGCCCTGAAAACCCTGAGGCCACGAGGATCCCTCCCAGCTCTGGGATAACGCCTGGGATGGGCCATGGGTTCCTCAGCACAGGGGGAAAGCCTGGGACACCAGGGACACAGGGCTGAAAGGCAGGGACCTCCTGTGACAGGGGTGGCACTGCCTGAGGGATCCCCACTGGCACAGGGACACTTGTCCAGCCAAGGCCACCATGGGATGATCCCCACTGGCACAGGGACACTTGTCCAGCCAAGGTCACCATGGGATGGATCCCTATTGGCACAGGGACACTTGTCCAGCCAAGGCCACCATGGGATCCCCATTGGCACAGGGACACTTGTCCAGCCAAGGACACCATGGGATGGATCCCCATTGGCTCAGGGACACTTGTCCAGCCAAGGTCACTGTGGGATGGATCCCCATTGGCACAGGGACACTTGTCCAGCCAAGGTCACTGTGGGATCCCCATTGGCTCAGGGACACTTGTCCAGCCAAGGCCACCATGGGATCCCCATTGGCTCAGGGACACTTGTCCAGCCAAGGTCACCGTGGGATGATCCCCACTGGCACAGGGACACTTGTCCAGCCAAGGTCACCATGGGATCCCCATTGGCTCAGGGACACTTGTCCAGCCAAGGCCACCATGGGATCCCCATTGGCACAGGGACACTTGTCCAGCCAAGGTCACTGTGGGATGGATCCCCATTGGCTCAGGGACACTTGTCCAGCCAAGGTCACTGTGGGATGGATCCCCATTGGCACAGGGACACTTGTCCAGCCAAGGTCACTGTGGGATCCCCATTGGCACAGGGACACTTGTCCAGCCAAGGTCACCATGGGATCCCCATTGGCTCAGGGACACTTGTCCAGCCAAGGTCACTGTGGGATGGATCCCTATTGGCACAGGGACACTTGTCCAGCCAAGGTCACTGTGGGATGGATCCCCATTGGCTCAGGGACACTTGTCCAGCCAAGGTCACTGTGGGATGGATCCCCACTGGCACAGGGACACTTGTCCAGCCAAGGCCACCATGGGATCCCCATTGGCTCAGGGACACTTGTCCAGCCAAGGCCACCATGGGATCCCCATTGGCTCAGGGACACTTGTCCAGCCAAGGTCACTGTGGGATGGATCCCCATTGGCACAGGGACACTTGTCCAGGCAAGGTCACCATGGGATGGATCCCCATTGGCACAGGGACACTTGTCCAGCCAAGGCCACCGTGGGATGGATCCCCATTGGCACAGGGACACTTGTCCAGCCAAGGTCACCATGGGATCCCCATTGGCTCAGGGACACTTGTCCAGCCAAGGTCACCGTGGGATGGATCCCTATTGGCACAGGGACACTTGTCCAGCCAAGGTCACTGTGGGATGATCCCCATTGGCACAGGGACACTTGTCCAGCCAAGGTCACCATGGGCAGGGACTGGGCAGGTGACAGTGCCAGCGGTCAGGGTCTGTCCTGGTGAGTGCCACACTCTGTCTGAGCCTCCCCTGTGATTTCTCACAGCCTCTGGAGCAGCTGGAGCAGCTCCTCCTCCTCCTCCCTCACATTTCTGTGTAACACTGGCCCATGGCAGCTGCTGGACACAGGGACTGGGGCTGGGAGGTGACATGTGACAGGTGCCACAGCACCTGCCAGGGGGCTGCTCCACCAGAGCCACCTGCACCCAGAACCACCTGTACCCAGGGCCATCCACCTGTACCTGGGGACATCCACCTGATCCAGAGCCACCCACCTGCACCCAGGGCCATCCACCTGCACCCAGGGCCATCCACCTGCACCCAGAGCCATCCATCTGCACCCAGAGCCACCCACCTGCACCCAGGGCCATCCACCTGCACCCAGAGCCACCCACCTGCACCCAGGGCCATCCACCTGCACCCAGAGCCACCCACCTGCACCCAGGGCCATCCACCTGCACCCAGAGCCATCCACCTGCACCCAGAGGCCCCCGTGGGGTGCAAAGGGAGCCAGTGAAGCCCCAGAGGAGTGATCAGAAAACGCTGCAGAGCTCTGAGACACGTTTGTCCCCTCACCTCGGTCCTTCCCGTTCTGCAGCTTCTCTGTTTCTTCTTCATCTTCTTCCTCTGCTTCAGGAGAAAACACAAAGAGGAAAAGCAGACATGAGACAGGGGGCTGAGAGGAGAGAGGCAATCCTGGAATTGTTGGGGTTGGGAAATCCCTCAGACCATCGAGTCCACTTGTTTCCCCAATTGCCAAGGCCACCAGTGCCCCAAGTCCCCAGTGCCACATCCACAGGGCCTTTAAGCCCCTTCAGGGGTTTTGACTGGTTTTTGACTGGTTTTTGACTGGTTTTTGACTGTTTTTGCTGTTTTGACACAGCAGAGTGGGAGCAGGAGGTGACATTCTCCGGCAGGTGGTGGCTCTTATCTCATTCCAGCACTTCCCTGGGACCTGTGCAAACAGCTGGTGGCTATCCTGAGGGTGGAGTCACTGCTGCAAGGGCAGGGAGAGCCCCCAGTGAAAGGCACAGCTGTGATGTGTGCTGGGAGAGCAGGCCAAGCCTCATCTCCACAAATTAAAAACATTCTATGTTTTTATTTATTTTGTTATTACCACATATTCTATGTGGCAACTGGAGGGGAATATCAAATGTAGGCTGAACTAAAGAAGTATGGTTGCACCATGAAGTCTGATTTTTGAATTTACTGTTATAGGGAGTAACATCTTCAACTAAACATTGATTTTCCCCTGCATTAATTAAATTTGCAGGGGAATTAATTAAATTGAATAAATTAAATAGAAAATATTTATCTATTATATATTTTACAAATATTAGATATAATAAATTATATAATATATAAATATTATACATAATATTTATATATTATTATATAAAATAAATTATGTCTAATAATATATAAAATATTATATATAATATAATATTTTATATAATATAACATAATATATATAATATATTATATATATTATATATAATACATAATATATAAAAATGTATATATATAATAAATTAAATATATTAATTAAATTAAAATTAATTAAATCATTAAATAAAAAAATTAAATAAATTAAATTTGACACAACAGGTCATGTACATAGAGCCAAGGATCTCCAATCCTTGAGGGTCTGAAGATGCCTTGGGAAGGTGAGGAACTCACTGTTTCCATGCATCCTCAGGAACATTAAGATTATTTGGGGATGATCCCATAAATGTGCCTGATATTTGAATATCTCTTGGGATTGGCCAAACACCCACTGATTTTGGCCAAAAACCCCAACTAAACAGGTGGAAATGGTTTCTTGGGGGTCATATTGGACAAATATTTGCTATCTAAACCTGAAGCATTAGCTGAAGTCACCCAAACATTTATTTTAGGTTGGCTAAAGCAGCTGGAGAAACAAAACAGCTGCAGCACCAGAGGTATTTAGGGTGGATGTGACCAGAGGGGACCTTGCAGACACATCCTTGGTGGCTTTGAGAGCAGGATGGTGACATGTGGGGGTCACACAGCTCCAGTGGCTCCTTGAAGGGAGAGCTGAGGAGATCAGGCAGCTCTGGAATAACCAGGATTGTGAGCTGGAGCTGAGGAGATCAGGCAGCTCTGGAATAACCAGGATTGTGAGCTGGAGCTGAGGAGATCAGGCAGCTCTGGAATAACCAGGATTGTGAGCTGGAGCTGAGGAGATCAGGCAGCTCTGGAATAACCAGGATTGTGACCTGGAGCTGAGGAGATCAGGCAGCTCTGGAATAACCAGGATTGTGACCTGGAGCTGAGGAGATCAGGCAGCTCTGGAATAACCAGGATTGTGACCTGGAGCTGAGGAGATCAGGCAGCTCTGGAATAACCAGGATTGTGACCTGGAGCTGAGGAGATCAGGCAGCTCTGGAATAACCAGGATTGTGACCTGGAGCTGAGGAGATCAGGCAGCTCTGGAATAACCAGGATTGTGAGCTGGAGCTGAGGAGATCAGGCAGCTCTGGAATAACCAGGATTGTGAGCTGGAGCTGAGGAGATCAGGCAGCTCTGGAATAAGCAGAATTGTGACCTGGAGCTCAGTGGTGGGTCAGGAACAACCAGCGTTGCCTTGGCTCCCTGCAGAGCAGCACCTCCTGAAGCAGCTCCTTTGGAGCTCAGATGGAGCAAAAATGGAGTAAAAATGGAGTAAAAATGGGATCAGTGCTTGCCCAGCAGCCCTGGGAGTGTGAGAGTGGCACTTTGGTGTGGCTGTGGCACCTGGGGGCAGTGGTGGCCTTGGCAGTGCTGGGGGAACAGTTGGACTCAGGGGCTTGGAGATCTTCTTCACCCTCAGGGATTTTGTGATTCTGTAGTTCTGTGACTCCACAGCTCCATCACAGAATCATGGAATACCCTGAGCTGGAAGAGACCCCCAGGTGCACGAGTCCAACCCCTGTCCCTGCCCAGACCAACACCAACAATCCCAGCCTGGGCATCCCTGGCAGTGCTGTCCAAAGGCTCCTGGAGCTCTGGCAGCCTCGGGGCTGTGCCCATCCCTGGGCAGCCTGGGCAGTGCCAGCACCTCTGGGGATGAACCTTTCCTGCTCTGCAGCCATCCCTGCCCAGCACCATGGCAGGAGAAGGTGCCTGGGGCCACCAGGGCATGCTGGGGAGCCCTGGGAGGACGGGGTGGGGCTGCTGAGTGTGTCCCCTCCTGGGGAACCCCCTGCTCTGGGCAGGGCAGGGACAAGGACAGGGACAGGGACGGGGACAGGGACAGGGACAGGGACAGGGACAGGGACAGGGCAGGGACAGGGACAGGGATAGGGACAGGGAATGGCAGGGAAGGGACAGGGAATGGCAGGGAAGGGACAGGGACAGGGACAGGGACAGAGACAGAGACAGGGACAGGGCAGGGACAGGGAATGGCAGGGAAGGGACAGGGACAGGGACAGGGACAGGGAAAAAGACAGGGAAGGGAAGGGAAGGGAAGGGAAGGGAAGGGAAGGGAAGGGAAGGGAAGGGAAGGGAAGGGAAGGGAAGGGAAGGGAAGGGAAGGGAAGGGAAGGGAAGGAAAGGAAAGGAAAGGAAAGGAAAGGAAAGGAAAGGAAAGGAAAGGAAAGGAAAGGAAAGGAAAGGAAAGGAAAGGAAAGGAAAGGAAAGGAAAGGAAAGGAAAGGAAAGGAAAGGAAAGGAAAGGAAAGGAAAGGAGAGGGGCAGAGCAGGGAGCTGCAGCCCCCTGGATCCCAGCCCTCCCCACGCTGCAGGAGTTCTCTGTTCCCACAGCTCCCCTCGGGACACGATGTGTGAAATCCTGCTGGCTCCATCAGCTGAGGATAACTCATGCTCTTCCTCATTTGCACAAATGACACCATCTCAGACACTTCAGGAGAGCCTTCCCTGGTGTCTGCATCTCCTCGGGCACGAGCCTGTCAGCAGCTCCATTTTCATTTCATTCCCACTCCCTGGTGAGGCACACAGCTTTGGAGGCCCCTGGCATGGCTGGTGGCCAGGGATGGACCCTGGGGGTGGCTGGAGCTGTGTCAGGGGCTTTGGGATGGAGAGCAGGGAAAGCTGTGGACAATGGCCTCAGGCACAGGCTGGGATTGTTGGGGTGTCCTGGGCAGGGCCAGGAGCTGGACTCCATGATCCCTGTGCCTCTGACTCAGGCTATTCCACAATTCTGTGATTCTACAACACTCCCTCTGCTCTGGAAAGCAAAAAGGGACGAGTGCAGACTCTGGGCAGAGGTTTGTTCTCTGTGTTTGAGCCTCGGGGGCAGAGCTGAGGTGATTTATGGGGGAGCTGGTGGCCTTGGCACGGCCCTGCTGGTGCTGTGTCATCCATGGACAACTTTATTAACTCGAGCTGCCTCTGCTGCCAGGACATGGGGCTGGAGGGGGATTTACTGCTGGGCAGTGAGACCCCCCTGTTCATCCCTGGAGGCTCCACCACCACCATGGCAGAGCCTTGTGGGTCACCCAAAACGTGTGGGGAATTTGGTGCTGGCTCCAGCAAGGAGCAGGAACAGACACAGGACAATTCCCTTCCTCCTCCTCAGCACCCAAACCAGCCCAGAACAGAACCACAGCACCTTCACCTTGCCAAAGAACAGGAACAGACACAGGACAATTCCCTCCCTCCTCAGCACCAAATCCAGCTCAGAACAGAACCACAGCACCTTCACCTTGCCAAAGAACAGGAACAGACACAGGACAATTCCCTCCCTCCTCAGCACCAAATCCAGCTCAGAACAGAACCACAGCACCTTCACCTTGCTAAAGGACAGGAACAGACACAGGACAATTCCCTTCCTCCTCCTCAGCACCCAAACCAGCCCAGAACAGAACCACAGCACCTTCACCATGCCAAAGAACAGGAACAGACACAGGACAATTCCCTTCCTCCTCCTCATCACCAAAACCAGCCCAGAACAGAACCACAGCACCTTCACCATGCCAAAGAACAGGAACAGACACAGGACAATTCCCTTCCTCCTCCTCATCACCAAATCCAGCTCAGAACAGAACCAGAGCATCCTTCACCTTGCCAAAGAGCAGGAACAGACACAGGACAATTCCCTTCCTCCTCCTCATCACCAAAACCAGCCCAGAACAGAACCACAGCACCTTCACCTTGCCCAAGGGCAGGAACAGACACAGGACAATTCCCTTCCTCCTCCTCATCACCAAATCCAGCTCAGAACAGAACCAGAGAATCCTTCACCTTGCCCAAGGGCAGGAACAGACACAGGGCACTTTCCTTCCTCCTCCTCAGCAGCAAAACCTGCCCAGACCAGAGCCACAGCACCTTCACCTTGCCCAAGGGCCTCCACAGATTCCAAGCTGTGACTGCTCCCCTGTTTGTCACCAGCCCAGAGCACTGGTTTCAGTCTGTCCTTGGGCACCTGCAGGGATGGCACTGCACCCTGGAGAGCTCCTCTCAGAGGCTGACAACCCTTTCTTTCCATGGAGAAATCCCTCCTGGAAGCAGGATTTAGTGCTGGAGCACTGCATGGTCCCAGCCCTGCTGCTGACAAGGGCCAGGGGACACTTCCCTGGGAGAGGCAGGACCTGCCCCAGCCCCAGAGGGGTGTTCAGCACGGGGAAGAGGCTCAGAGGGAGTAATTATCTGTTTTCCATGTCATTGTTTAACCACAAGGGATGAAACTGGCCTCCTGTACAGCTATTGAGATGTGGTTGCATCATCTGATGGGGAGTCGAGGCAGAGGGTCTCACCTGCTGCCCGGGTATTGCAGGAATTTGGGGACACTCACCCCAAAAACCTGCTCTGCCTCGTGACTCTGTCATTGAGGTCATCACCCAGCATTGCCCAGGCCAGTGGTGCTGGCTATAAAAATGATTTGTCCCTAAGGACATGCAACCTCACGTTACAGAAAACCCAGTTTCAACAGAAATGAAAGGTAATAGAAAACCAACTTTAACAGGAAATAAACCTAAGGGCAAATCTTCAAGCTGTGGCTCCCAGCTCTCCCTGTGGCTCAGCCCTTACCTGAGTGCAGCTCCTTCACCAGCGAGGACATGGTGTTGGTGATGGAGTCAGCTGCCACCAGCAGGTCATTGCGCAGGTTCCTCCTCGTACCTGGCAGGGACACACACAGAGGGTCAGCAGGGCTGCACTGCCACTGCCACTGCCACTGCCACTGTCCCCAGGGCCCCCTGTCCCCGCCTGGAGTGGCTCCCAAAGCAGGGGAGATGGAGGAGATTCACCCAGGGACACACACAGCATCAGCAGGGCTGCACTGCCACTGCCACTGCCACTGCCACTGTCCCCAGGGCCCCCTGTCCCCACCTGGAGTGGCTCCCAAAGCAGGGGACATGGAGGAGATTCACCTCAGAACAGCCCCTGCCCCATGCCCTGATCACCCTGGGACAGTGACAGTGACAGTGACAGTGACACACACACAGCACCAGCAGGAGCTGCACTGCCACTGTCCAGTGTCCCCTGGCCCCACCTGGGCTGATTCCCAAAACAGGGGAGATGGAGGAGATTCACCCCAGAACAGCCCCGTGTGCCCCATGCCCTGGTGACCCTGTGACAGTGACACTGACAGTGACAGTGGCACACACAGCATCATCAGGAGCTGCACTGCCACTGTCCCCAGGGTCCCCTGTCCCCGCCTGGAGTGGCTCCCAAAGCAGGGGAGATGGAGATGGAGGAGATTCACCCTGGAACAGCCCTGTGTGCCCCATGCCCTGGTGACCCTGTGACAGTGACAGTGACAGTGACACACACAGAGGGTCAGCAGAGACTGCACTGCCACTGCCCCCAGGGCCCCCTGTCCCCATCTGGGCTGGGTCCCAAAGCAGGGGAGATGGAGATGGAGATTCCCTCTGGAAAAGCCCTGTGTGCCCCATGCCCTGGCCACCCTGTGACAGTGACAGTGACAGTGACACACACACAGCATCAACAGGGGCTGCACTGCCACTGTCCCCAGGTGTCCCCTGTCCCCACCCGGGCTGGCTCCCACAGCAGGGGAGTACAGGAATGTGGTTTTTGTCGATGGAGTGACAAAACTATCTTTTGTCTTTTTAAAAAGGAAATAAGTTTAGAAGTTTTTCTTTCTGATTAAGTGAAAAAGGTGTTTTATAGGGCTTGGGGGACTTCATTTTAAACTTAAGGATAGTTAATTGGACAGGAGCTAAAAAGTCTTGCTCAGACAATTTACTAGAAAAAGAAGAGAACTAAGAAACTGATGGCTGTTGTGAGGTGTTTTACCAGGGGTAAGAGGGTTTCTTGCACTTAGATTAGTTTTTCTCTGCAAAGAGTTCATTATTTTGCCTTTTATTAAAACTTTTTTGTTTCTAACACTGCCATGAAAACTGTCTTGCTGATTTTATGCCTTCTAAGGCATAAAAATAAGCTGAGTTATCTTGGGTGTGAAATGAATCTCCAAAAGCTTATGAGACCTGGCTTGAAGAGACTCCTGTTTCAGGGGAGATGGAGATGGCCCCTGGACCAGCCCCGTGTGCCCCATGCCCTGGTCACCCTGGGACAGTGACAGTGGCAGTGACAGCCCCTGGCTGCTCCTCTCACCCTCAGGGCTGTGAGTGGGATCGAGTGTTGGAATTCTCCCCCTTCCTGGAGGAAGGAATCCTCTTCCTCAAAGGGCTCTGTGCTGGTCCTGGTGACCCTGAGCTGCCTGGACACTCCCTGGTCACCCTGGACAGCAGCTGGACAGCAGCAGCAGTGCCCCAGTCACCCTGGACAGCAGCAGCAGTGCCATGGTCACCCTGGACAGCAATGACCTGGTCACCCTGGACAGCAGCAGCAGTGCCCTGGTCACCCTGGACAGCAGCAGCAGTGCCATGGTCACCCTGGACAGCAGCAGCACTGTCCTGGTCACCCTGGACAGCAGCAGCAGGGTCCTGGTCACCCTGGACAGCAGCAGCACTGTCCTGGTCACCCTGGACAGCAGCAGCAGGGTCCTGGTCATCCTGGACAGCAGCAGCAGTGACCTGGTCACCCTGGACAGCAGCAGTGCCCTGGTCACCCTGGACAGCAGCAGCAGTGTCCTGGTCACCCTGGACAGCAGCAGTGCCCTGGTCACTCTGGACAGCAGCAGCAGTGTCCTGGTCACCCTGGACAGCAGTGACCTGGTTACCCTGGACAGCAGCAGCAGTGCCCTGGTCACCCTGGACAGCAGCAGCAGGGTCCTGGTCACCCTGGACAGCAGTGACCTGGTTACCCTGGACAGCAGCAGCAGTGCCCTGGTCACCCTGGACAGCAGCAATGCCCTGATCACCCTGGGACAGCAGCAGCAGTGCCATGGTCACCCTGGACAGCAATGCCCTGGTCACCCTGGACAGCAGCAATGCCCTGATCACCCTGGGACAGCAGCAGGGTCCTGGTCACCCTGGACAGCAGTGCCCTGGTCACCCTGGACAGCAGCAGCAGTGCCCTGGTCACCCTGGACAGCAGTGCCCTGGTCACCCTGGACAGCAGCACCACTGTCCTGGTCACCCTGCTGGACAGTACCAGTGACCACCAGTGGCCCCCTCACCAGTGGCCACGGCTGGGCCAGAAGAGCCAGGAGAGCATGGGCACACAGCTGTGTTATTGTTTGGAATAAAAAGAAATTTAGGAAAGTAATACAAAACTTTTTGTATAACTCATAGTCTATTAAACTACTAAAAAACGAAGTATGTTTTTGTGAAACACACATGTCAAAGATAAAAAAACTTAAAACCTCTTTTTTTTAATTAACAACAACAAAAAAAAAACCCCACTAATTTTGTGTAGTGGTTTTGGTTTGTTAATTTTAGATTTTTTGAGATTTTTTTTTGAGTATGGTGTGTTTTACTGCTGGTTAGTTATTAATGTATTTATTTCTTTGTTGTGAGATAGGTTTAGGAGAAAGGTAAAGTAGGTTTAAGATTTTAAAAGGAAAATCAAAGAAAATTTAATAAAAAAAATAAAGAAAATTTTAAAATTTATTTCTTTATATTATCAATAAAAAATTATTTTTAAAATGTCTAAAAAATTATTTAAATTTTTTTTCTACTACCAACTGACACAGGGATCACCCCACAGGGCTGTGTGGGGCCTCCTGAAGGCCACGACCCCCTTGGATCAGGGATGTGCCCATCCCTGGAGGGGCTCAAGGCCAGGCTGGAGCAGCTTGGGGTGGTGTCCCTGCTGTGGAGCAGCTGGACAATGTCACCAAGCCCACCCAGACATCTCCTGCCTGGGACAATCAATTATTTTATTAAGTGAAGAAATGGACATTTTCTCCTGCTTCCTGTGCTCTCTGCCGGCCTCGGCCCTGCCAGATTTTGTGTGATTAATATGGAACAGCACTAATTGTGCAGATTGCCTTTCTGGGAGGAGCATTCCAGGAAAATGATGGCAGAGTCTGCTCTTGCAGGATTTTTTCCTGCAAGAGAATCAGCCCCACCGTGGCTGTCATGAGAGGAACCTTGCTGTGGGCAGTGGTGGATCTGAGGGTTCCCCAGGGACGTCTTCTTCTCTTCCAAGATGGTCAACAGCAGAATTGATTTTCTAATGAGATGGTGGCCTCTGTATCTGAGTATTTCACCCAGGAACCACCAGGTTTTATTCTAAACCTACACTTGGTCACCACCCCAGTGCAGGCCTTGGTGATCCTCTGCTGAGTGGAACATCAGGAGATCATCTAAGGAGGGCACTTTTCTAATCTCAGGACTGTAAGACCAAGATCTCCGGGCTTCAGTTCTTCAAAGCTTTCCTGTTCCAGAGTTCCCCCCAATAATGGGGCAGCTCGTGGGAGGGAAAAGGAGCCCTTGGTGTCCCTGCCCTCTGTGCCCTCAGCACAGCGAGAGGTGCCACCGTCGCATTTTTAATGTCTGGTGGATGTGGAGAAGCTAGCAGGAGTAATTGAAATGCTTTTGTTGAAGTAGAATCAGGGTGCTGAGGGATGTCTTGCGTTTGTTTTGGTCCCCACTGACACCTGGTTCCTCACAACACATATCTGGGATGCTGTCAGGTGTTAAAAACCTGGGAAAACCACAAGTTAAAAACCTGGAAAAGACACAAGATAAAAACCTGGAAAAGCACTAGTTGAAAACTTGGGAAAGCCACAAGATAAAAACCTGGGAAAGTCACAAGATAAAAACCTGGAAAAGACACTAGTTGAAAACTTGGGAAAGCCATGAGATAAAAACCTGGGAAAGCCCCAGCAGGTCCTGAGGAAGGGGCAGTCCTTAGGCAGAGGCAGCCAGGAGCCCCTGATGGATCCATCCGCTGAAGGAGGAGGTGAAGAACATTGTGGGGTGACTCTGCTGGAGGGGTTTGCCTTGCCATGGCTTCTGCACCTTCCCAGGAAAAGGCAGATGGACACAGAACCAACAGGGACACCAGGGAAGGCTGGAAAATGAGCTAAGATGCAGCATCTGCATGTCCTGCCATAATCAGGGGCTCCAAGCAACTCGAGCACCATTCCCTCTCTTGTGCTGCTCACAAACATGGGGCAGGGAGAGCATGAAATGGATCCTGGGGTGCTCCTGGGGCTCAGGGAGCTCTGTCCCCATCCTGGGCTCAGAATGGATCCTGCACAGAAAGGGATCCTGCACAGGGGGAAGGAGAGGGAGCTCTGTCCCCATCCTGGGCTGGGGATGGATCCTGCATGGGGGGAAGGAGAGGGAGCTCTGTCCCCATCCTGGGCTCAGAATGGATCCTGCACAGGGGGAAGGAGAGGGAGCTCTGTCCCCATTCTGGGCTCAGAATGGATCCTGCACAGGGGGAAGGAGAGGCAGTGCTGAGGAAATCAGCAGAGAGCTCTGGGCTGCACCACCAAACTCACTGTGGAGATGGAGAGGAGGGAACTGGGCACCCCAGCACAGATGGGGCGCTGACTGCTGGTGTTGGCATCCTGCCTCCTGGAAAGGCTGCTCTGCTCTCTGCTCCTGCCCATGGCATGAGGAGAAGGCATGTCCTTCTCCCAGAGCAGCTGCAGGGCTCAGAGGGGCCATCCCACAGCACTCCTGCTGCTGCTGCAGCACAAAAACCAGGTAGAAGTGCTCACTGGCACTCCTGAGGTGCCCACTGGCACTCCTGACGTGTCCACTGGCACCAGTTAGGTGTTCATTTGCACCAGCTAGGTGTTCACTGGCACTCCTGAGATGTTCACTGCCACTCCTGAAGTGTTCACTGGAACTCCTGACGTGTCCACTGGCACCAGTTAGGTGTTCATTTGCACCAGTTAGGTGTCCACTGGCACTCATGAGATGCCCACTGGCACTCCTGACGTGTCCACTGGCACCAGTTAGGTGTTCATTTGCACCAGTTAGGTGTCCACTGGCACTCATGAGATGCCCACTGGCACTCCTGACGTGTCCACTGGCACCAGTTAGGTGTTCATTTGCACCAGTTAGGTGTTCACTGGCACTCCTGAGATGTCCACTGGCACCAGTTAGGTGTTCATTTGCACCAGTTAGGTGTCCACTGGCACTCATGAGATGCCCACTGGCACTCTTGATGTGTCCACTGGCACTCCTGAGGTGCCCCACTGTCAGTCCTGAGGTGCCCACGGGCACTCCTGCTCCTCTGCTGCCATTTTACAGCCTCTTCCATCACCTCCTTCTGGCAGCACCTCCTTCAGGCCAGGGCAGAGATCATTCTAGAAGGCCAAATCCAGTGAGCACTGATAAATACACACTAAAACCTGTTACACCTGCACTGAGCACTGATAAATACACACTGTGCCTGTCACACCTGCAGTGAGCACTGATAAATACACACTGTGCCTGTCACACCTGCAGAGTGTGATATCAGAGCACTGATAAATACACACTAAAACCTGTTACACCTGCAGTGAGCACTGATAAATACACACTGTGCCTGTCACACCTGCAGTGAGCACTGATAAATACACACTGTACCTGTCACACCTCCACAGAGCACTGATAAATACACACTAAAACCTGTCACAGCTCCACTGAGCACTGATAAATACACACTGTGCCTGTCACACCTGCAGTGAGCACTGATAAATACACACTGTACCTGTTACACCTGCACTGAGCACTGGTAAATACACACTGTACCTGTCACACCTGCAGTGAGCACTGATAAATACACACTGTACCTGTTACACCTGCACTGAGCACTGATAAATACACCCTGTTACCTACAGCCTGTTTGGTTTGAGGTGCAGCATTGCTTCTGCCAGGTTCCTTCCCATGTTTGGTTTCTTTGGAGAAGGATCCTGGCCACCTGATAAAGGGATTTGATGCTTCCGTTCACAACCTTCCCTCCCTGGGATGAGAAACCACCTTCTGCTGAGGTGACCTGTCAGATTTTACAGAAACAAAAACCACCTCTGTGTTAGGTGAGGGTTCTCATTCACTGCCCAGGAATCAGGCATGTGAATCCCAGCAGGATTTCCCAGGGAACACCATGAGGTCCACAGGGATTATCACAGAAATATTGAAGCTGGAAAAGTCCTCCAAGACCATCAAGTCCAACCCTTGTGGATTGCTGCCCATCCTTTGGCTCTCCCACACCTGTGCCATAGGGACAGGAGGATTCTCTGTCCTTTCTCCACTGGCAGAGAGGAGAACATCAAGGACAGGTGGAGGTGCAGCTTCCAAGAGGGGATGTCCACAAAGAACCTCCAGGTCTGCCCGAGCTGGGAACACCAGGCCCTGCTGCTGTGCTGCTCCCAGCTCCACACTCCAGGATGCTCCTGGAGCACTAAAGATGAAAAGCTCTGGATGGACCAACAAGGAGAAAAGAGCATTGAAACCCCTTGTGTTTCTTCTGGCAGTCCAACCACCAGATTTGTAAACACGGCAGGTTTGTAAGGTTTCATTCTTAAATGATTTGTGGGCGTAACTTCCCTTCAGGGAAGATCATCTTCACAGAAATTAACTTCATTAAGTTCAAAAGATTCAAAGTGTGTCCCCAGTTTGGGCACAGGAAAGGGGTTTGTGATGATTGCCTTGACAAGGTGAGTTATGTGTGTGTGTTGTACGTGGGATCAGGGGATGGTGTGGGTGGGAAGGACCTTAAAGATCACCTGGTTCCAAAACCTCCAGGGACACCTTCCCCTGTCCCAGGCTGCTCCCAGCCCAGTGTCCAGCCTGGCCTTGGGCACTGCCAGGGATCCAGGATGGGCACCCTGTGCCAGGGCCTGCCCACCCTGCCAGGGCACAATTCCTCATTCCCAAGATCCCATCCAGCCCTGCCCTGTGGCACTGGGAGCCATTCCCTGTGTCCTGTCCCTCCAGGCCTTGTCCCCAGTCCCTCTGCAGCTCTCCTGGAGCCCCTTCAGGCCCTGCCAGTGGCTCCAGGCTCTGCCCAGAGCTCAGTTTTTCCCTTTCACCCCCCAGATCTGCACCCCCCAGGATTTGTGTGCTGAGAATCAGAAGCCCAGGCCGGAGCCATGGCAGGCAGCAGCACCTTGGGATGCCAGGATCCCAACTGGGTTGGGTGGGAAGGGAGCTCAGAGCCCCTCCAGTGCCAGCCCTGCCATGGCAGGGACAGCTCCCAGTGTGCCAGGGTGTGCCAGTGTCCAGCCTGGCCTTGGGCACTGCCAGAGATCCAGGTGCAGCCACAGCTGCTCTGGGCACCCTCCCAGGGCACAGTTCCTCCCCAAGCTCACTCCTTCCCACGGTGGCTCATCCCCATGGTTGTCACCTTGTGTGAAGGCCTCGTGCACGTCGCCCCCGAGTCCTGGCAGCGCGTCCTGGGCTCCGTGTGTGGGTGTGGAGCCGGCTGAGGCTGATCGTGGGGCCACGGGCCCGGCGGGTGGGCGGCCATGGGTGGGCGAGGGCTGGGCCGAGCCCGCGGCCTGCGCCTGCGGAGACACAGAGAGCCCTTGGCACGGGGGCACGGCTGGCACCGGCCCCAAGGGAACAAACACACACAGACAGGCACAGGGCAAGGTGCAGGGAGAGCCTGGGCCCTAAATACACAGACAGGCACGGGGCAAGGTGCAGGGAGAGCCTGGGCCCTAAATACACAGACAGGCACGGGGCAAGGTGCAGGGAGAGCCTGGGCCCCAAATACACAGACAGGCACCTGGAAATGGGCAGGGAGAGCCTGGGCCCTAAATACACAGACAGGCACCTGGAAACGGGCAGGGATAGCCTGGGCCCCAAACACACACAGGGACACGGGCAGGGAGAGCCTGGGCCCTAAATACACAGACAGGCACCTGGAAACGGGCAGGGATAGCCTGGGCCCCAAACACATACGGGCAAGGAGCAGGGAGAGCCTGGGCCCTAAATACACAGACACACACAGACACACGGGCAGGGAGAGCCTGGGCCTTAAATACACACAGACACACACAGGGCAAGGAGCAGGGAGAGCCTGGGCCCCGAACATACACAGGGACATGGGCAGGGAGAGCCTGGGCCCCAAACAGGGAGAGCCTGGGCCCCAAACATGCACAGGTGACAGGGCAGGGAGAGCCTGGGCCCCAAACAGGCACCGGGCAATGTGTAGGGAGAGCCTGGGCCCCAAACAGGGAGAGCCTGGGCCCCAAACAGGGAGAGCCTGGGCCCCAAACAGGCACAGGGCAACGTGTAGGGACAGCCTGGGCCCTAAACAGGGAGAGCCCGGGCCCCAAACATACACAGGGCAACGGGCAGGGAGAGCCTGGGCCCCAAACATACACAGGGCAACGGGCAGGGAGAGCCTGGGCACCAAACAGGGAGAGCCTGGGTCTCAAACACACACTGGTGACAGGGACATGAGCAGGGACAGCCTGGGCCCCAAACACACACAGGGCAATGGGCAGGGAGAGCCTGGGCCCCAAACACACACTGGTGACAGGGACACGGGCAGGGACAGCCTGGGCCCCAAACACACACTGGTGACAGGGACACGGGCAGGGAGAGCCTGGGCCCCAAACACACACTGGTGACAGGGACATGGGCAGGGACAGCCTGGGCCCCAAACACACACTGGTGACAGGAACACGGGCAGGGACAGCCTGGCTGCACAACACACACAGACACACACAGGGCAATGGGCAGGAACAGCCTGTCCCCCAGAGAGCTCCTGTTGCACTGTAAGCAGGGATGGGATGGGATGTGATGCACGGGTGGGGGCTGCTGTGGGAGGTGGTGGCACCACGGGCGTAGAGCTTCATTTACTTATTTTTAAATTGTGATGTATTTTCATGTATTTTTATCTATTTTTATCTGGTTTGAGATGTTTTTTATGAAATCACATGCTCTGTATGTTTTATGCAAGGATTTATATATTTATATAGTACATATGTAGGTATTTATATATTTATTCAGATTTATTTATATATTTATTTATATATTTAAATTGTATGCTTATATATGTACATTTTACATATGGATATATTAATATATTATATATACTTATATAATTTACATATGTAATAGAATAATATATTACATATATATTTATATAAAAGTAATATGTATCTATTAATATATAGTATTTATATACTGCAAATGTATTACAAATATATTTGTAGTATATAAATACTATATATTTACTATATATAAATATATAGTATTTATATACTACAAATATATTTTTATATTTATAAAAATGTATCTTCTTATACAGTGTATATATTTTATATAATATGTATTCTATATATTTATAAAATTTTTTAATATTTTATAAATTATGCATATCTGTATGAAAATTTAGATTTTAAAATATATTTTTATACGTATAATATAAAAATTTATATAGTACATATATATTTATACATTACATTATAGATATTTAATGTATTACATATATAGATATTTTATGTATTTTTACACTGGTATATTGTAGATATAGTCATATAATTTGACTTACTGCTGAAATAGTGACTTTTTAGATCTCATTTTACATTTTCTTCCAGTCCAGCCCACCCCATTCCTGCTGTGCTATCCCAACAACCTCCAGAGCAGCTGTGCAGCAGAGGTGACAGTGCTGTCCCCAACAGGGCTGGTGGTGTCCCCTCCATGCTGAGGGACAGCCCAGGGCTCTGCCAGGTGCTGTCCACAGCCTCGAGTCCCAAAAATCCCAAAAAACCCCAAAAAACCCGGGCTTCTGGTTCTGGGCAGGGAACTCTGCCAGGCTCACTTGACCAGGCTCCCCATGCCACTGAGGGGCCTGTGGGGCCAGCCTGGGCTGGCACAGGGTGACAGGCAGGGCAAGGACAGGGGGACAGGACAGGGCTGACATGGGGTTATTGCCTCTGTGACCCTAAAAAATGGAGCTCTGGTTTGTACCTGGTGTGTGCTGCCCACGGGGCCTGGCTGGGCTTTGTAAGAGAAGCCCAGAATCCCTGAGTGGTTTGGGTGAGAAGGGGGCTTAAATCCCCCCCAGTGCCACCCCTGCCATGGCAGGGACACCAACCACAGTCCCAGGGTGTGCCAGTGTCCAGCCTGGCCTTGGGCACTGCCAGGGATCCAGGCTGGGCACCCTGTGCCAGGGCCTGCCCACCCTGCCAGGGCACAATTCCTCATTCCCAAGATCCCATCCAGCCCTGCCCTGTGGCACTGGGAGCCATTCCCTGGCTCCTGTCCCTGCAGGCCTTGTCCCCAGTCCCTCTGCAGCTCTCCTGGAGCCCCTTCAGGCCCTGCCAGGGGCTCCAGGGTCTCCCCAGAGCTCAGTTTTTCCCTTTCACCCCCCAGATCTGCACCCCCCAGCATTTGTGTGCTGAGAATCAGAAGCCCAGGCCGGAGCCATGGCAGGCAGCAGCACCTTGGGATGCCAGGATCCCAACTGGGTTGGGTGGGAAGGGAGCTCAGAGCCCCCCAGTGCCAGCCCTGCCATGGCAGGGACAGCTCCCAGTGTGCCAGGGTGTGCCAGTGTCCAGCCTGGCCTTGGGCACTGCCAGGGATCCAGGCTGGGCACCCTGGGCCAGGGCCTCCCAGGGAACAATTCCATCCCAAAATCCCATCCATCCCTGTCCCTTGTCCCCTGTCCCCCCACTCCAGGTGTGCCCACTCCTTGGACCAAGGCACACCGTGACCCTCAGGCTGGCATTGCCCACTCCTGTCACACCCCAACAAGAGGAAATGTTTTTGTCACCAAGGCTCCTCTTTGAGACACTTCCCCTACACCGACATTCTTCGAGAAAGTGCCCGAAGCCCTGAAGGTTTCATTTCAATGGTTTTTCACCCTTGGCAGCAGCTGCCTGCCCTGATTTGCATTCCACGGCCAGCGGAGCAGCGGGGCTGGGAACGTCCCTCAGCCACGGGTGACACGGGTGACACGGTTCCTGGAAAACACCGGGGCTGTCACAGCAGCCCGTGAGGTCACAGCACATCCTGAGGGGGATGGGGACACGGGGACAGGGCCAGGGCACACTGCTCCCCCTCCCCGTGCAGCTCCTGGGGTGACTGAGCCTCGTGGGGCTCAAAGAGGGATCTGAAAGTTGTGGGGTCAGTGGAGCCTTGAGCTTTGCCTTCCTAGAAACACGTGCTGGCCCAGCTGGGGTCCCAAAAGGGCTCCTGGGTGGTGGTGACAAACAGCACCCTTGGCACAGCTCAGCAGCACTCAACTCCTGTGGCATCTGCCCGAGGACAGGCTGGAATTGTGGAGCCATGGAGCCCCTGAGGCTGGAAATCCCTCTCAGACCATGGAGTCCAACCACCCCCAGCACTGCCCAGGCCACCAGGGACTCCTGTCCCCAAGTGCCACAGCCACAGGGCTCTGAAATCCCTCCAGGGATGGGGAGTCAGCCCTGCCTGGGCAGCTGTGCCAGGGCAGGACAGCCCTTTCCAGGTGGGAATTGTTCCCAATGTCCACCCTGAGCCTGCCCTGGCCCAGCCTGAGGCCATTTCCCCTTGTCCTGTCCCTGTTCCCTGGGAGCAGAGCCTGACCCCAAACACCTGGGGCTGAGCCACAGCTGCAGATCAGTGTGTGGCTCCTGCTCCAAACCCCTCCAGGTGTCCCTCTCCAGAATGAAACAATCCCATCTCCCATGGATGATGCCAAGGGCCACATCCCCAGGGAGGGGGGACAACACCTGAAGAGGTCCAGGATGGAAAAGGGACCTGCCAGAGCCTCCCTGGGCTGGAAAGGACCTCGGAGGGGGACGGCTCCTTCCTGCTCAGAGGCTGGGAAAGGGGCTCAGCCTGAAGAAAAGGAGGCTCAGGGGGGACCTTTCCAGGGAAAAAGGAAAAAAGGAAAGGGAAAGGAAAGAGGAAAAAAAAAGGGAAAGAGATAAAAGAGGGAAAGGGAAAGGAAGGGAAAGGAAAGGAAGGGAAAGGAAAGGAAAGGAAAGGAAAGGAAAGGAAAGGAAAGGAAAGGAAAGGAAAGGAAAGGAAAGGAAAGGAAAGGAAAGGAAAGGAAAGGAAAGGAAAGGAAAGGAAAGGAAAGGAAAGGAAAGGAAAGGAAAGGAAAGGAAAGGAGCTGCTCTGCTGAGAGAGCAGGGGCAGCAGGGCTGTGCCAGCCTGGTGTGGGAGGACAGGGAGCTGTGCCCCTGCAGGGCTGGGCACAGCCCAGAGCCACCACGGGACCTCTGTGGGTTCAGTGTCCCCATTCCCTGGCACAGCTGTGCTGGGCTCTGCTCCCAGGGTAGGGAACTCCAGGATGCCCTTTGGAAACAGAGCTGAAGTGGAGCTGAACAGGTTTGTGAGCTCCTCTGGCTCTGCTTTGGAGCTGCAGCCCCAGAAACCCCAAGAATTCCTGGCTCATTGCGTGTCCTTCCTGGAAACTGCACCGGGAGGACACACAAGATGGATTTCCATTTAGAAAAACCACGGAGGGAACCTCTGACCTGGCTCCTGAAATGTTTGGGAGCCAACTTTGATTTATTGTCCCTGGCTTATCGAGCCTTGTACACAAGAGCTGTGAGGTTTA